CGGACTGCTGGAGGAAAGCAAGCAGGCTGATGTGCACATGATTTATGACAGTAGGAACAAGAGAAAGAGAAGGTATAGGAGTAATTAATGGTGGATTGGTGTGGTTGTGTTGTTTTAATTATAAGTGGGTTGAACTTGTAAGCTTCACCAGTAAGTATATTCGGAGATACCAACCCTTTCAATCGGCCTCACTATTCACTAATACATGTTGGACTCATCATCATGCTTATGGATATCCCCAAATTAACTCGATCGCCCCCGCTAAATATATGTTTGAAAATTTAGGTAACACTAGGTGTGATATTGTGGAAATTTTGTTTATGTATAATAGAAGTAGGATTATCTTTAATTATTTCCACTTTGATTTGTGAAAAAACAAATATATATGTAAAAAAACAAACTTTTACATGTTTTTAATGCTTTAATAACACCACATGTACGAAACCAATATGTTTTTACAACACCACATATGAAAAACAAGAAAACAAACAAACAAGTTGGTTGATGTGGTGGGAAAATACTAACGAGACCGTGATGCTGCCCCGAACCCTCATACTTATGTTGAGATCAATCGAGCTTATGCAAGCGTGCATCCCGTACTCCCTAACTTACAATATAGCATCAAGTTGTTTCAAAGGTAATTTTGATTTTTGATAATGCTAAACGGCCTGATTACATTAAAATTACCAACAAGACCTAGAGATACCGCCGATCATTTTATATTAACAAATATTTTGGCTATATTTAATATGTATAAAATAGATTTGAAAAGTGGATGACCTGTGATGGCATCACAAGTGGTTAACATGAAAAAAAACTATTAACAAACACTATTATGATAAGCACTATTCATTTGAATCAGCTATTTAATAAATTTATCGTTATCTACCTACAAAGTTTTATAAAGCTTTGTATTCGAATTTGTCATTCTTATACACATGTTATATTTCTCAAATTATTAATTTTCTATAAATTGTAATCATTTTATTTATGTATTAATAAAATAATAAAATATACTAACTAGTCAAAAAAATTAATAAGAATTTAGCTTGTAAAATGATTTTTTTTATCAAATATAGGGGCAATATGTAGCAAACGAGTTTTTACAATTCTATGTCTATGAAAACAAATATTTTAAAAAATTAGAAAATGAATATGTAAAAAAACAAAGTTGTAATAAAGTAAATTTATAATAAAAAGTCACTTTTTAAAAAACTTATAAAAACAAATTGAAAAAAAAAATGGAGAAAATTTGTTTTTTTTATCAGATTGATAGAAAGATACAGGGTAAATTACACGAATGGTCCCTATGGTTTGGGGTAATCTGTGTAGTTGGTCCCTAAGAAGAAATTTTAACTCGGAAGGTCCCTATTGTTTGTTTTTGTTGCGCCGTTAGTCCCTATTTGACCTAAAATGACTTTTTTACCCTTATTAATTCCTTTTTTAATTTGTTTATTTATTATTTATTATTTATCATTTATAATTCTAAAATACAAAAATACCCACCCAGCTCCTCCGACAACCTCTACAGTCCTAGACACAGCTTCCGACAACCTCCACGGCTCCTCCGATAACCACTACAATCCTCTTCCGCCTGGAAAAAAGGCAGGTAGCAGACCAACACAACCAACTCGTCTTCTTCCTTCTATTTTAAAAGATCTATGATACCTCATCCATTTCATCTCCGACAAACCTAACAACGTAAATGAAACCAAAACCAAAATTCATACTTGAAATCAAAATCAAAACTAAATATGATGAATATCAAAGTCAAACCTGTGAAAATGAATATCAAACCCGAAGGAAATGAAAACCAAAATTGACGTTAATAGAAAATGGGTTTGATGATAATCAAAATAAAATCAAACGATCAAGATGAAAATCAAAATCAAATGAATATCAAAATCTGATTCAATGGTTGGGGTGGCTCTAGTTCACTTCAAGCACCAACGATTTCAAAGGGGGGTTTCAGTGGTGCCCTCACCCTATGAATCATCGGTTTCAATCGGAGAAGGTTGTTAGGGTTTTTGATATAAAGTGTCGACAGTAAGGAATAAATGGGTGGGATGAGCGACGAGGGTGAGGCTAAAATAGAAGGACAACTCGTCGGACTCTCTAGTTTCTCCGGCTTCCTCCACCTTCTCCGGCGATCTGGTTTCTGTAAGGTTTTCCCGATCTGATTTCTCCAATAATTTTCTTCGGGTTTGATTTCCAAATTTCCTTTAGATCTGTCGGTTTCTTTTCCTAATTTCTTCGACATTTATTTCGAGTGGAGGTTCTATGACGATCTTGTTGAAGAAGACAAACAGGTTGATGATGGTTGGGTGGAGGATTACCAGAAGAAAACGGTGAACGGGGGGAGGAGCGAGGGGGTGGGTTGGATTGGAGGAGGAGGTAATCTGATTATGTTTTTCAACAATAATAATAATAATAATAATATAACTAGTGAAAATAAGAAATAATTATTAAAATGAATTTAAAATATAAAAAAATAACAGTAAGGGCAGAACAGTCTTTTTAAGAGTGGTAGGGACTAACGGCGCAACAAAAACCAACAATAGGGACCTTCCGAGTTAAAAATTCTTCTTAGGGACCAACTACACAGATTACCCCAAATCATAGGGACCATTCGTGTAATTTACCCAAAGATATAATATAGGCCAATACAGTAAAAAGAAAAGTTGGATGGGAAGACTTAAGAAAAAACCTATGACATGATAGTGCCCATGTTTTGTGACCTGCATACAAAAATGGGAAGAGAGAGGAATCGAATATAAACCTCCCTGATGGTAAACAAAAACGATGAAACTGTTGGGTTAGACATTAGGTTAAAAAAAACGTCACAGAAAAACTACAAACAATCAACTTACCGAATATTAAAATTATTGTTCACATGCAAATTGTTAGCAATAGTAATGTAGATGATCGATCACCTTTTGAATGGTTTAATGTTGAACCTACATGAGATAAAGCATTTAAAAGAAGTTATCTTCGTATTAAAAGAAGTTATCTTCGTATTATAATCTCACATGCTATGACTTTTGGGTTGTCATATGTGTAATGTGTTGCATAATGATTGAGCGGAATTTGGATACTCCTGAAAACTATTTCTAGATCTAAGTACGATTTGACAAAACTAGATGCTTGTTCCAGTTTGTATTTGATATAAAATACTCGGTATTATGACAAAACTAATAGTTACAACTCGTATAAGATATAAACGATAAAGTCATAAAACGACATAAAAACATGAAAACTGAAAACTTTAAATATTTAAAAACAATTTATAGTACGTTTTGAATTAATAGCATTTTATTTAAAATAAAATCTTATAAAATTTGTAATTCGTTGGACGTCTTTTTAATTCAAGCTTTTTTTAAAATTAAAATCTTTTAAAACAACTAAAAAGACGAAATTGACTAGTATTGGATTTACATCAGTTATAGATTAAAATATTTTTATGATTGATGGTGGAGAATCCTAAGCTCAACGATTATTTTCTGGCCCACCAAGCAAAGTCATCAGACGGACACGTGAAAAGTTTTAGGTTTAACGCCGGTGGATCGACCCTGTCTGTTGAAGTCAACAAAAGGGTGCACATCGTAGCTATGGCATCTTCATCGCAAACTCTTTTTGCTCCCCTGCGCACACTCAAACGCACTTCTCCAATTCCATTGCCCTCACGATCTCCGTCGTCGTGGATTCCGGTGACGAATCGATCGATCCTCTCTTCCGCACCGCCAAATCACAGTATCTCAGCAATCGGCGCCACCCACTGCTCGAAAAGATTCAGCTGTTTGAAGACAAAAGCGTCAACGTCTGCGAACATGGCAACTGAGAAGAAGAAAGTACAGGTATTTGATTCTGAAGAAGCTCTATCGGTGTCTCTTGCAAAATACACTGCCGATTTGTCGGAAAAATTCATCAAACAGAAGGGTTCCTTCACGGTGGTTGTGTCTGGTGGATCTTTGATCAAGTCGCTCAGGTAAATGTCAAAAAGATGCATATTTGTTCTTACTGAATTTGGGACCTGATATTTGATGGATGTTTTTGAAATTGGAATTAAAGGAAACTAGTGGAAGCACCTTACATTGATTCGATAGATTGGGCGAAATGGCATATGTTCTGGGTGGATGAAAGAGTGGTTCCTAAAGATCATCCAGATAGCAATTACCTTCTGGCATTTGATGGTTTTCTCTCCAAGGTATGTTTATCAAGATTATCAATTTGTATAGAAAAAAAGAAAGCATTGTCTTGTTCTTGTATAAATTAGTTTTCAATTTGTGTTGCTCAGGTGCCGATTCCTCCTGGAAATGTGTACGCCATTAACGATGCCTTATCAGCAGAGGGTGCAGCTGAAGACTACGAGACCTGTATCAAGCATCTGGTTCACAACGGGATAATCGCCACATCTGAAACAACCGGAATTCCAAAGTTTGATGTTATGCTATTGGGTATGGGCCCAGATGGACACGTGGCATCTTTATTTCCTGGGCATCCTCTACTTGAAGAGAAGAACAAGTGGGTTACCTTCATCAAGGAATCACCAAAGCCACCACCAGAAAGAATCACATTTACTTTCCCTGTAATCAATGCGTCTGCAAACATTGCACTTGTTGTAGCTGGGGCTGGTAAAGCACATCCAGTGCATGTGTCTCTTGGAAATGGTCAACATTCTGAGGTTTTACCTGTTCAAATGGTTTCACCTGAAGGAGACCTAACATGGTTTTTGGACAAGGATGCAGCTTCAAAGCTCTAGCTACTCGATGTGATGTTTTGCTAGCTTTAACATGAATGTTTTTAAACTTATTGGTCATTTTAGGACCAATACCCAGAGCTCTGAAATAAAAGATACAAAATCTATATGCTAAGTTAATAAAAAAAAAATGGGTTATTTTCTCTGATGTTTTATAGTCTAAGGTAACGTCTCTCAATCTTTACTAAAGACCATTTTTTGGCATCTTCCAATTGTGTATGCAAACTCAATAAATTGATGTGTATGTGGTTTGAAAAAAACATCTACAGTTCTCCAAAATGGCATTACAAACTCAACATATTGAATGATCTGTTGATAATAATCATTCTCTCAATGATTATGCACCTTTTTTAAAGATGATCGGTTCTTTTATTCACTACCTTGCAATTCATTTGGATGACATATTGGAGGCTGGAAAAGATGATGTTGAAATTGTGTCACATAAGCAATTCTTGGACAATAAATAACTAACGAAAAACCTGTCCTCACGACATATTTTTCATCTAACAAATAACCAAAGTCACCATGTTTTTAATAGACATAAATATTCTCCATAACTTAAAACCAACACAACACAACACACCATCTAAACCTCAAATAATGAAAGGGAAGCAAGCAAGCTCTCTCTTTCTCTTTCAAGCAGACTTCTCTTTGGTGTAAGATCTGACCACAAAGGCCAAACCTAAGATCACAAGAGGCACAATAAACTGTAATATCTTAATAACAAACTCCGAAGTCTTGTCATGATTGTAGTTGCTATCAGCAGGTTTAACATAAGCACGCTTCTTTGGAACAGTTGCCTTGTCCACCTCGCCAATGTAATATTTGTGCATCATGCCTCTAGCATCATCACTGTGTCCCACATCCTCAAAATCGTCGGTTGCATCTTTCCCTAAAATCATGCATACATCATTTATCAATACATGAGATTCATCTTCATTAGGTCTGGGTGTAATATTTCATTCAAAACTTACCAGTTGCTGCTAGCAGAACTTCATCGCCTCCAGGGTGGTCCTCCATAAATGGGGTTACATCATAAACCTATTGACGTTTAGATTCAGTTTAGGTTTAATAAAACTCAATCACCAATGAAAGCAAGGAGATAAACATGTTTACAAAAAAATTGTTACTAACAACTCTAAAATCAAACAATAGAGGCACAGATGATGAGTGATAAGTTTATATGACACCTAGATTCAACTCAGAGTCAAATCGCACAAATTTACTATAAAACCAAATCGACAGTACGATCGCAGGACATGCAATAAAGTTCAGATCGTATCAAGCTACCAAAGCACAAAAGATTTGATAATATCCAAAAGCAGGTATAAATCAGCAAAGTCAAAAGCGAATTAGAAAAGATCTGACCTTTCCGTCGATAACAAGCCAGCAATCCTTGGTTTTGTTGTGTTTGATAACATCATCGAATACGAAATTTTTGGGATCTGACGCCATTGAATCTGCTACTGCGAAAAGAAAAGATCAATAAGTAAGATTTGATCTTTAGTTGAACAAAAGAAAAGAAACCTGTAATCGATCTAAAAGGAATCGATCTACTTACGAGAGAGATTTTACGCCGGCCGGACGAAGGGTTTTCTTCTTTTTCTCTCTCTCTCTCTCTCTCTCTCTCTCTCTATTCGATAGGAATCAACGGTGAGTGGTCCTAGTAATTTATATGCGTCCACACTCCACACTCCAAATACTTGACTCTCGACTATTCTTATCGTGCGTGAAATTACTACTTTGACCTCCAAAAGAGTTTTGCCTTAATCTTTTAGTAAATTAAAATTTTCGTTTTTGGAATATGCTTCTTTAATCTAATACAAGTTCATCCTAAATCTCTCTATTGTAACAATCAATAGTCAGTGTATAACGAATAGGACCTTGAATTTTGAGATAAGATACCGAAATGATGTGAACATAAATCACATACGGACCACATGTCTTATAAGTTCTAGGACAATTTGTCATTTTACTATCTCGATTTTTCATCCCAAAATTAATTCTTATTGATTTTTTTGGCATCCCAAATTAAAACCCAAAATAGATGGTGGAAATAACTATGAGATGTAACCACCAAAGTTGGTATGCCATAATTGATGATTACAAATCGAGGACCATCGGTTCGATTAAATGGTGGACAATACTTTCCTTCAAGATTTAGAATCAAAAATCGACTTGGGTGTTGTTTGTTTAAAAAAAATGTTTGTAGTTTTTTTTGCATATCTTCAGAAAAATATGGAGTTTGCAGTCTACAAAAGCAATATTATTGTTTTTTAAAGTGCTACTAAAAAAACTGATAATTTTTGAAACTTTAAAAGGATAATAACTTAAAAAAGTTACAGTATTGAAACTAAATTCATACAAGTGAATTAACAAAGTTTTTTAAATCCCAGGTGAATAACACCCTCTCCAAATTTGTGTGACTGTCCAAAAATAAGTTCAATGGGAATTTTAAGCTTATTTTTTTGTTAAATTAAAGATGTTTAGTATACATGTTGATTTGAAACGGTAGCCAAACACATAAATGGACAACAAATAATATCTACATCCTTCTATAAACAATTAATTCCAATCACTTATGTAAACTCTCTTAGGCTGGTGGGTGTGTTATCACACTTGTCAAGTTGCACATCAGCGCCAGCCAGGATTTGTCACACTCTCTCTAATTTTTGTCATTTACATGGCGTGGGTTGTCACACTTGTCATGCCAATTTTTTTTAAATAATTAATATAAAAAATAAACATTTCAAACATATTATTTTTTTTTAAAAAAAACTAAAATTTCATTTAACTAGAATAATAATTAGGATTTATAAGTTAAGGGTTAATTTTGTAATTTCAGAAAGTATTTTTATAATGAAAATTTAGGGGTATGTTTTGTTAGTAGACCAAACCCTAGAGACATTTTATGTCAAATTTTGAAAAACTTGTTATCTTGTGCTTGAATTTGAACAAAAGCAGTTTCTTCCATTTTTGTTGACTACAACATTACAACTCATGCAATCAAAAACTAATTCCCTATTTCTCTCTATTTTCTCCAAACCATACACTCTCTCTCATTAGCATTTCCACCGAGTTGTCGAGCCCATGTCGATGCCTCGGCCCGGTGTTCGCCAAGGTATCCTAATGGCTTGCCGAGACCACTCCGAACAGCATTAGTTTAAAATTGGGTATATGTTGACCTTTTACGGTCAAACAATACAATTTTCAAAGAAAACAAAAGTGAAGACTTTGGAAGAGTACTATTTTTAAGATTCCAAAACCACTTTGACCATCATCATTAATTCATTACTATTTACTATATAAACAAACTTTATATCTATGGTCCTTTGTGTTATCTACTCTAATAAATGAAAATCTTTTTGCCACTTGTCATTCTCTCATGAGTTTTTACACTTGTCATTTTATGGTATTTTTGAAATAAATATTATTTACTTGTCAATTTTTGGTTTGTTTCAATTTTTAAAATTAAAAAGTCACATAATACTTATATTTATATATGTAAAGTATTAAATTTAATAAATATTATACTAAATTACAATTAATATGTTTATTCATTCCTTATTTCAAAATTTTATTTTAAAAAATACTTATTATTTACATTTTAATATTTTATTTTTTTAGTTAACCCATCTAATACACGAGTTTTATACCTAGTATATTATAATATTTATGGTCCTTCATTTGTATATTATTAATTATATTATTAATGATTTTGATTTTTTGTATTTTTAAATATAAATAATCCAATCGCTTGCAAATAAAGTTTACATGTGATCCTTCATTTTACAAATTATTTTCCATTCTAATTTTTTATATAATTTACATATTATTTTTAATATATATTACATATTCATAGTTATGAAAATAATATAATTATATATTAGTATCAAATAAAACCTATTTATTCTATATAATCTCAACTTTTTTTTTTATTTTATATGTGAAAATTGAATGATATATTCAAATATTGTTATTTATAACCTTTTTATTTATATGTTTTCTGCTTTGACATGTTTATATTTTTTAAAATCAGTATTTATATTTAATTAATATCTATTAGAAAATGTCATAATTCAACTAACAATAATAGTTTACAAGTATTAAATTTGTATCAACAACTAATAAATTGGGATTAAGGGTGTTAACGGGAGCAAACAGAACGGAGATTGCATCCCCCGCCCTCACCCCCAAAATTCCCCCACTCCTTCGCCCCCGTCCCAGCCTTAGAAATTTCCAGCATCTCCACCCCCCGCCCCTGCCCCCGAATTCCTAGATTCACCCCCACCCCCGTTTCCCCGCTCCCGATCGATTTTGAGATATTTTTAACAAATATCCCCCATATGGGTAGGGATGTCAAAAAGTCTCATGGGGCAGGGCAAGGTTAACCCCCGTTTTAATTTCGGGGGTGGGGGCGGAGATAGGCATTCCCGTCCCGAAACCCTCATGGGGACCCCGTTAATAAATTACACATATATTTACATATATTAATTATATAAATATAATAAACAATAACATGATTTTGAACTTGCAAAATTCATCAAAAAATATGTTTTTAAATTGTTAGTATAATGTTTTTAAGATGTCATAACTTTTTTATTTTTAACATGTAAAATTATACTATAGATAATTATTTGTTACCTAAAAAATAGCTTCTTTTAGCCTAAATAAAAACTTATTTTAGCCAAAAAAAAGGCAGCCCAAAATCAATCGGGGGGTCCCCTGGAACGGGGGCGGGGGCGGGGGTAATAAAGGGGATTCGGGAGCGGAGGCGGGGGTAGGAAGACTGAACATTTCTAGGGCGGAGGAGGGGAATGCACTCCCCGTCCCGTTTGCTCCCGTTGACATCCTTACATATGGGATCGGGGTCTCATGAAACTTTTTGACATCCCTAATTAGAATATGAGCTATAGTACGAACTTTTATGTTATTTAGATCTTCTAGATAAGTGATGTATCAAACGTTTATTTTTATCGGATAACACTAACTTATTATTAGAAGCTATATAGCTATATTTTTAACTATCAAACCCTAATTTTACCAAAAATGGCAACCCTAATTTTTTAGCTAAATACTCAAACGTAGCTTAAAAAAGATGGGCACCAGAGTTTTCTTTAATCTTAGAGCAACCACATCAGTGGTAGTCTTGCAATATATTTGTAAAGGCCATCTGTATAATGTTTGCAAGACACATGGATTAGATATTATTATTTTATTATAAAGGTAATATAATATATCAATTCAATTGTTTTTAATATCTTGATATGACTATTTAATTAAAATACTAATATAATCTTTTTACAAGTCTTTCAAGTTTTGAAAGAGACACTCCTATATAACATAAAATAATGGCCTACGCAAGCCATTTGCAAGCCATCGAAGTGGATGGTCTTACATGGCTTGAGAAAGGTCCAACAATATGAACCACTGATCATCATGGCCCATTATATTTAATTTAATTCATCACATTTAATTTTAATTTATTTGTATTTACATTTACTCCCCCTATATTCATTTTAAATTTTAATATACACCCTCCTTATATATTTTTTCCATTTAATAGATTCACCTACTTAAGTATATTAACTTAAATTAATTGATGATCCGATATCTTAACAAAATATAAAATTAATCACATCATTAAAATATATCGTTGCCAATATTTGATACTATGTAAGTATTTATATTAATATACATATTTAAATTACTTCGTTGATATGAATTGTGATTTTTTGGCACTTAACAATATGACAACAATAATTTTTAGGATAATGACTTAAACGAACTTTTAACTTTGTTTACATTTAGTCTTTAAATTTTTTTTTTATTATCTATTTGTCACTGAACTATTGAAACTGTTTAGTGACAAATAAATAATGAAAAAAGTTTAGTGACTAAATGTAAACAAAGTTGAAAGTTAGTTACCCTTTCAAGTCATTATCCCTAATTTTTAAGTATTATTGAGTTGGTCCATGATATTATTACTATATACAATTTTCGTTTTACTGATCATACATGAGTTTTGCTATTACGCATCCCAATTTATTTAGTTTGCTATATTGTGCCAATAAACTTTTTGGAGCTAAATTCAATTGTAATAATACATAACTACATAAATAGTCCCTAAAGTTTTTTTTTCTTTTATTTATAAAGCTGGCTTAATTCAATTGCAATTGCCAAAAGTTACAAGTTACATAAATGATCCCTTTATTTTGCTCATTTATTTAGAAATTATCTAGTTTTGATTTGTTTTAATTTTTGTGCTCATTTGTTTAGAAATTATCCAGTTTTGATTTGTTTTAATTTTTGTGCTCATTTGTTTAGAAATTATCCAGTTTTGATTTGTTTTAATTTTTGTTGTTTTAACTTACATAAATGGAATGGTCCCTGCAGTTTGCTCCGCTGCAAAGCGTGGTTTTCTTACTAGTTAGTTTTTATTTTTGATTTTATAAAAATACGAAATTTGAAAGTTTTTTTTATGCTTTTCTATTAGTCATCCTTAAATTCTTAGTTATTCTAAATAAGATATTTTGTTTTATTTTATTATTTCATATAAAAAAAACTTATATTTGTTTAACCTATCATAAAATACATAATAAAATATAAATAAATTACACCAATAAATACTTTCAAAATATAGATACTATTTAAGTATTTGTATTACTTTTTATTTTTTATTATTGAAGTCTTGAAGTGGGAACTCTACATTTAAGGGATGTTTGGTAAGATAGAATTTTTAATATCTGAATTTTTAATAGATCCGAATTTCTATGATATGGATTTTAACATGATGTTTGGATGGAAACATTTGAATTGTTGTGCTAAATTTTAAAAATGATTATTTTACCCTTCTATATTTTTTTTGCTGAATTCAATATTTATTTATCATCTCTAATAAATGAAGGTTTTTTTGCCACTTGTCAAATTCTCAAGAGTTTTGACACATGTAATTTTGTGGGAGTTTTAGAATTATTATTTTCCACTTGTCATTTTTTGTTAATTTTCATTTTTTTTTAAAATAATATTCCACAAAATTCTAACGATTTTTATAAGGAAAGAAAATCATTCTATTAATTTGATAATAAAGTCTCATAAATGCTTTAAGTATTTGATTTCTTTTATAAATGTTCCAAAAGATTACATTATGTTATGTAAAAGTATTATTTTATAATATATTTATGTTTAAATATTGATATTAAATTTTTATTTTTAATAAACTCGTGTATTACACGGGTCTCACACCTAGTGTTTTATAAAATAATCAAACCAACTTCTTGAATAATTATAAAAAAATATAAATATCATACAAAATCCAAATTAAACATAAATCAAAATTACACACCCACTACCTTACCAACCAATCATAACCGAACATTTATTGTATTAAAGAGGAATGAAAAGTATAAATTCTAAGACATCAATAACAGAATAATTGTTAAAATATGAAACTAAATTAAAAAACAAAGTAGGAAATGAGATTGTAAAGATCTTTATTTCAATACTTGTGGTAAAAACAACCAAACTTTACAATACATAATACTCATTATTTATATTAGACAAAGAAGATAAAATGTGAGATATGTTATGAATGCTTATTATAGTGGTGCATAACTACATTCATAAAACTCATAATAATGTTTTTTTTTATAATTCTCATTAGTTAAGGAGAATGACAGAGGGAAATGGAGAATCAGATAGTCATTTACTAAATAATAATTTATAACAATAATGAAATTATATTCTTTATAATGTATTGAATATGTATACAAAATGTAACTTCCTAAAAAAAATTAAGATATTGTTATATATAAAGGAAGCATTGGGACTAAAAATATCTAAAAGCAATATGAATACTAAAGGGTCTTTGGCCTAGCGGTAATGAGTGACCCTCTCAAATAAGAGGTCATGAGTTCAACTCTCTTAGGAGACATATGTGGTATTTAGGAATAGGTTTGCTAGTGTCGTTTCAAAAAAAAATATGAATCTATAGGCTTATATTAATGCAAAAGATGTGACCAAATATATAACTTCAACAACATAACCACAAATTCAACAAGTTTTAGAACAAATTTCACAGATCCTCTGTGACGTTGGAGATGCAGGGGTGGAGGTCGGTGTTCTTCGATGCTACAAGAAAAGAGAGACGAGGGTAGGGTGTGTTATACACACATGACACATAACAAATGGCCATGTATCATGTATATATGTGTGTGTTATACACGTGTGTGTGTTTGGCGAGATAAATATGTGTATGACGTGTTTTGTGACAAAGGTGCTTGACGGTGGTGGTGTGTGACGACATGTGCGACGCCGACGCCGATCCTCTGTGACGTTGGAGATGCAGGGGTGGAGGCCGGTGTTCTTCGATGCTACAAGAAAAGAGAGACGAGGGTAGGGTGTGTTATACATGTGTGTGTTATACACACATGGCACATAACAAATGGCCATGTATCATTATGTATATATGTGTGTGTTATACACGTGTGTGTGTGTTTGGAGAGATAAACATGTGTATGTCGTTCGTGTGTGAATGCATACATACCTTTCGCTTGTACAACTTACTTTTGTGTAAAAAAGTCAAGTTGGCAACATTTATAACACGTCCCCCTCAACATTTTAGATATTTTCATTTTATCATTGTCTTTTCAAAAATATAAGCATTCATGCCGATGCTTCGTATTGTATTTGTCTAAAAGACATTAACACGCCACAAAAGACACAATCCATGATGTTGTCCATTTCCTTCATGTACAACCATCATAACGCGTAATTAGTATAGTAACTAATAACTTCTAACAATAACGTTAAATGTAAGGAAATTTAGGGTCTGTTTTAGAATAAACCAATAGATGGTATTAGATAAACAAATTGATTCGAAGTTGAAGGCCTTTTTTGGATATTTACCATGAATAAAGATGGCAACATTCCACCTATGCGAAAATCAATTTGAGCCTACCAAACCAACCCAAACAATAAAAATCTTAGTACAAAGACCGGTTTAAAGTAGGATTTGATTTGTACTGGAGAGAGTCTAATTTCATGTGTACTACACACCATGTCACCATTTGCAGTACAAAAGTGGTTTTGATTAGGCCATTAATGGTGAAAAATTTTCACCACTAACAACAGCCTTCTTCTCGCCATTAATGGTTGAAATCTCTTTATCCGGCACTCATCTTTATAAATTCATCATTTCGACACCCCTGTCAGAAATCATTTCACCCAAAACACAAACAAAAAACCCATTAAATTTCTTGTAGGGTTTTCAATTTTCGTGTTGCGAGACCTCTGAAACCCACATTTCTTCTTCTTTCGCCTTTCGTTTCACGATTATTCTTGTTCGTATCAATTGAATCGGTGGCTGATTAGAAGTTGGTGTTTTGATGATTTGATCAGAACATTCGTTGAAGAAACTTGGGGAAGATGGAAATAGAGATGGAGAACGTGAATGGGAATGCGAATGCGAATGCTGTGAAGAGGCTACCGCCATGGACGGCGCACATAACATGTCGAGGAGTGGTAGCGAGTACAGTGATCGGTGTTGTGTACAGTGTGATAGTGACGAAGCTTAATCTGACGACTGGCCTCGTACCCAATCTCAACGTTTCCGCAGCTCTTTTAGCTTTCGTCTTCATCAAAACATGGACCAAATTGATTCACAAAGCTGGATTCGTTACTACGCCATTCACTAGACAAGAGAACACCATCATTCAAACTTTGTGCTGTTGCTTGTTACAGCATTGCTGTTGGAGGTAAATTTAATTACTTTAATTGAATTCATTCCCATTTTTACGTTATGTTTGATTAATGAATGATTGATTAACAGGTGGATTTGGGTCTTATCTGTTGGGATTAAACAAGAGGACATATGAGGAAGCTGGTGTTGATGTGGATGGGAATTCACCAGGGAGCTATAAGGAACCTGGGGTTGGCTGGATGACTGGTTTTCTGTTTGTTACTAGTTTTGTTGGTCTTTTGGCTTTGGTGCCTCTAAGAAAGGTTTGTACTTTACGCTTTAGTGACTTGTACCTAGCTACCATCTTTGCATGTCCAACATATATCGTTTAATTGTACGTGCAGATTAT